GAATGCCGATATTGTAAACAGCAGCAGAAGAGGAAGAATGCACTGCAGTCAATTAAGTGACTCGCCCGAGTTGGTTTAATTCGACTCATGTCCACAAGCCAGCGAGACTCACAAAGGTGTCCGATTTGCGTCAACCTCGGAAGAAAGTCGGTCTCGCATTCTTGAAGATTAATGGAGAATAGTTTTACATTTCTCTCTGCAGACTTGTGATCAAAATTCAGCGAACGACTGTAGGGGGTTCCCGGCAACTTGTGAAAAATACGTGGATGTTCATTTCTTCAGAGTTGAAGGAGGAATTTCCAAAGATTTCCAACTTCAGATTTATTTTTGTCCTTTTTTTTGTCTTTATTTTCGCCTCTTGTATACGCAGGCTTCATTGTCGTTAGAAGTAGTTTCACATCAAACCGGTCGTCTACATTTGTTGCCTGCACTTGGATGAACTTCCTCATGAGAGATCCAGTCATACAAGGATCAAGTATGGCATATCATCCGTTTATACCTCACCGGGATCCGGAATTTGCCATGAGTGCAATGCTGGGTCACCAGCCTCCTTTCTTCCCGGCCCTGGCTCTCCCTCCCAGCGGCTCCCTCTCCCTGCCGGGCGCCCTGGGAAAGCCGATCATGGACCAGCTGATGGGAGTCGCGGAGACCGGCCTCCACTTCTCCTCGCTGGGGCATCAGGCTGCGGCCGCCCACCTCAGGCCTCTCAAGACTCTGGAGCCCGAGGAGGAGGTGGAGGACGATCCTAAAGTTCACCTGGAAGCCAAAGAGCTTTGGGAACTCTTCCACAAGAAAGGCACCGAGATGGTGATCACCAAATCCGGAAGGTGAAATAGATTTTTTTTTGTTGTGTGTGTTCGTCCCAAAGATGTTATTAGAACTGACATACGGAAGCCTGTTGATTGATAACCCATAATGGAGGGATAGAGAAACCTATAGATATGCATGTCCTTAAACACATGACACTTGGACTTAAGCATGTCTACATGGATACAACTTTTATTTCACCTAATCGAGCCTTTAATTTGAATACATTACATGTGCACTGCAGCATAAGTGTCCCACGCATGTCATGCTTGTGTTTTCTCTACAATGTAAAATAAAAAAAAGAAATGACCCAAATAATTTGTAGATATACAAGATTAGCTTGATAGAAAAAAGTGCTAAACTGAGTTTAAGCTGTGAGCTCCTGCAAACTCAGCTCTGCCGCTGCACGTTCAACAAACTGGTAATGGCAAGTCACATGTTGGCCCTAAAATCATTCTGGAAACTGAAAGGGCCAAGGCCTGCTGGCCTGTTATTAATAGTGAGCTTCACTTTCACGTATCTACACTATTAATCCCATGGCATAAAAAAAATTATGCATAGTTTAAGCTCAGTGTTCATTTTCATGCCCGGTTTGTCAGATACGTTACACTGACAGACTATTCCAGTGAAATGTCAATTCTGAATATGTGGAGCTCTGATTAAATACTCTGTCATCACCACAGTGACAGTACACAAACATGGCTGCCTGTCTGTATGTATATAGGCCTTTCAAAGCATTAAAAATGAAGACACCATCCATATACTGCAGCATCACAGTAGAGGAGCATAATTATACTTCTTCGGCTGAATTCTTTGGCAGACAGACGTCGTGATTCACATCAGACTGATAGAACACTTGAAAATCATTAAGAATCATGGATTTACCACCATCTAAAATATTTTGCTATTGTTAATATTTTATTTGGCACCACACCAGCGCTCATCATGTGCTTCCCCTTGTTACAGGCGCATGTTTCCACCGTTCAAAGTGAGGTGCACTGGTCTGGACAAGAAGGCCAAATACATTCTCTTGATGGATATAGTTGCAGCCGACGACTGCAGGTACAAATTTCATAACTCCCGCTGGATGGTGGCAGGGAAGGCCGACCCCGAAATGCCAAAGAGAATGTACATTCACCCGGACAGTCCGGCTACTGGTGAACAGTGGATGTCCAAAGTCGTCAATTTTCACAAACTCAAGCTGACTAATAACATCTCCGACAAGCATGGATTTGTAAGTTCAACTAATGTATGTCCATTTTCCTATTTATCAACTTACTCTTTTTAGTAGCTATGTGGTAATAATTACCTTTTATTTGTTGTTTGCTTGTTTGTTTTTATGTTTTTAATTTAAGCCCAAGAAGTCCCATAGGGCTTGAGATGTATTTTGTGAGGAAGACGTGACTGAGATAACATTACAAAAAATTGCAAATGGTGAAATATAATCTCAATTATTACTGCATATTTTTAAGAAAATTAAGCCTGCAACTATTTTTGTAACTTATTACATTTTCCACCAAAACTAATTCCCAGAATGTTTTTATATGATTTATTAGTATTTATTAGTTTTAATCCCTCATAATGATGTGACTTGTACTTTAAAAGTTGATTTATGGTTTAAATCAAAATCATAAACAGTAAAACAAATGATTTGTGCTGTGTGTGTGCATGTGTGTGTGTGTGTGTGTGTGACTGTGTGTTGCAGACCATTCTTAACTCGATGCACAAATATCAGCCTCGGTTTCACATTGTGAGGGCCAACGATATTCTCAAACTCCCGTACAGTACCTTCAGGACTTATGTTTTTCCTGAAACGGATTTCATTGCTGTGACTGCTTATCAGAACGACAAGGTAAGCACAATTACTGCTTTACTCTGCATCCTGAATATCTCCTAAAGTAGTTTGTCCTGCCAGACGCCGTCTTTCACGCTGTGTGCAGCATTTTGTTGTGATAAAATATGAAACACGGCGTATTTGTTGGAGCCGGTGCAAGTGGAGTAATGAAGGGATGTTGCTGAGTAGGAAAGAAATAATTCAGAGGAATGTTATACAGGTTATGTTCCTTATATTTAAGCACGTGGAAAGGATTTGGCACAGACCCAGACTCTCACTCTCGGAGTGTGTGCGCGCAAAACTAGAAAGGGCTTGGAGCTGAAAAATGAGAAGGAAGAGGGGCAACACTGTGCGGCTGAAGTGAGAAACAGAAAACAAGAGGGTCGTTTTTGTTGAGTCAAACAACGCTGCGTAGCATCATTTTATTATTTGTGAGCCTTTTTTTTAAAAATGACAGTGACCTCCTAAGCTCCGACATGGTGGGGAAACGACGGCACCACTTCCTGTGGTAACACAACCGGAGATGGCGAGGAAGTGGTGTGGGAAGAGAATTTTGCAAAAGGTTGCACAAAAACAACATATTTCATTGTCGTGAAAAACGTGCCGACTCATGTGGTCATTGTGTGTTTTATCTGCAAGTGTGTTGCTGTAGCAGCTTGTTTTGGCCTGTTGGAACAATAATAGACAGTCGGTGCATTCTAATCTTGTAGAAATTACCTGCAGTTGTAAAATGATACCTTATAGGGAAGTGAATATTTACACGTACTTTTAATTATTTCAGATAACCCAGCTAAAAATTGACCATAATCCATTTGCCAAAGGATTCCGTGACACGGGCAACGGGAGAAGAGAAAAGAGGTAAGACGGGGGGAAAGTGCAGCCCTCAGATGTCTTAAGATTTATATGGAGACGAACAGTGATCTCGGTGGATTAACCCCGCGTCAAAGCTTGCGCATTAACCAGCAGGGAGTCTGCTTCGCCACAGTTTCTAATTAAACAGCTTAAAAGGCTAGAGTTCACTATAGTTCTTATGTTTTCTACTGAAGGTATGGAACAGATTAACTTTAAATGTCGTTACAATTCACTTGGTGATTAATAGCCTATTTTAAATTATACATGTGTCTTTGTTGTGCTTGAATTGAAAATGGGGAATGGGCCATGCTAAGGCAGTGGGGCTGTAATGGGTTTGTACTCTCACCTGCTACATAGGTAAATGAGCACCACAATCAGAGCTTCATTATCTCAGGTCTCCAGTGTGAAAAAGCTTCCACACCATTCATCGTGCTGCAGATATTGTTTCTGACCTGGGAGCTGTGACCAGGACCAATAATAACCTGAATACTTGTGCACAGGAAACAGCTGGCTCTGCAATCCATGCGTTCATACGAGGAGCAGCAGAAAAAGGAGAACGGAGCTTCAGACGACTCCTCAGGAGAGCAGGCTTCCTTTAAGTGCTTCGGTCAGGCCTCGTCCCCTGCCGTGTCTACCGTGGGCCCGCCACACCTGAAGGGGAGGCTCACAGACCGCACGCACACTCAGCCACA